CACACACACAGCACTCTCACACCCATCACACACAGCACTTTCACACACACAGCACTCTCTCACAGCACTCTCACAGAGCACTCTCTCACACCCATCTCACACAGCACTCTCACACCCATCACTCACACACGGCACTCTCACACCCATCACTCACACACGGCACTCTCACACACATCACACACACACGGCACTCTCACACACATCACACACACCGCACCCTCACACACACACATACACCGCACCCTCACACACACACATACACCGCACCCTCACACACACACATACTGCACCCCTCACATACACACAGAACCCCCCAACACACTGCACCACACACATACACAATACTTCCAAATATATATATATATATATATATATATATATACACACACATATACATATACATACACACACACACTACACTCTTAAAGGACCACTCTAGCCACCCAGACCACTTAAGCTTAATGAAGTGGTCTTGGTGCCAGGTCCTTCTAGGGTTAACCCATTGTTTTATAAACATAGCAGTTTCAGAGAAACTGCTATGTTTATCAATGGGTTAAGCCTTCCCCCAAAACCTCTAGCAGCTGTCTCATTGACAGCCGCTAGAGGTGCTTGCGTGCTTTTCACTGTGGAAATCACAGTGAGAGCACGCAAGCGTCCATAGGAAAGCATTATAAATGCTTTCCTATGCATCCGGCTGAATGCGCGCGCAGCTCTTGCCGCGCGTGCGCATTCAGCCGACGGGGCGGATCGGAGGAGGAGAGCTCCCCGCCCGGCGCTGGAAAAAGGTAAGTTTTAACTCCTTTCCAGAGCCGGGCGGGAGGGGGTCCCTGAGCCACATATGCATCACATTACACCACAAACACAACACGACTAAAACCGACCTTATTACACAATACCACACCACGACCAGCTCACTCTACACGCAGGCTCCAAACACATGCACAATACTCTTTCCTGGCCTTTTGTCTCCTGGTATCCATTTATAGAGACACCAGAGACAAGTTGCAAGGAAACACAGTGCAAGCATGTTATTAAATTTGCTTGCACTGTGCAGAACAAATATAGGACTTTTTTCTCATGCTAGAGCTCTTCAGCAGAGCTCTGCGCATGGTCTGCCCTGGAAGAGCATTGAACCAACATGCTCACTTTGAGAGGAGGCGTGTTTGTCATTGGTGATGACAAAACACACCTCCTCTGCCCCGCCCCCTTTTTAGTGGGCCGCTGTGTTAAAAAAATGCCCGGGCCGAATTTTTCTCCCAGTCCGGCCCTGGTGTCCCCCCTCCCCTTGTCCCATAGTGTCCCCCCTCTCCTTGTCCCATAGTGTCCCCCTTCCCTTTGTCCCATAGTGTCCCATCCTTTTCCTTGTCCCATAGTGTCCCCCCCTTCCCCTTGTCCCATAGAGTCCCCCCCTCCCCTTGTCCCATAATTACTTACCTGTCTTGTAGCGTGGGCTGGCTTCACAGCATGCTCCGCGGTACAGGAACTTCAATTTCAGGTTCCGGTTTCCGGCGGGACTGAAAGGAAGTGTGCACACTGAGTGTGCACTTCCTTTCAGTCCCGCCAGAAACCGGAACCTGAAATTGAAGTTCCTGTACCGCGGAGCGTGCTGTGAAGCTGGCCCACGCTACAAGACAGGTAAGTAAAGCTTCACATTCGCTCCATAAGACGCACAGACATTTCCCCTCACTTTTGAGGGGAAAAAAGTGTGTCTTATGTAGCAAAAAATACGGTATTTCTGTATGCAAGGTAGTACACAAGTAGTCAGGAAAAGGAAGATAACTAGGACAGTGAGGACTGCTGTCCCAATCTGGAACAAGGTTTTCTGCCATCCATTCATCCATCCAAACCATCTATCCCATGTATTAGTGACCCCAGAATTCTTTTGTAGTTCATCAGAGAGACTATCCGATTTCTCTATTGCCATGGTTACTTTACCATTGGGTCCAGTATTATCTGGGATAAAGGTGCAACGTCATGGTATCGGGGAGTATTTTACATCCGCCCCCCTTTTCCACTAGGATCATATCCAGGGCCATTCTATTCTGGAATGTCATTTGGGAGGTAGCTTGCAGTTGTTCTGCCAAGCCCTGTAGGGCATCTTTAGTATAATTAACAAACCATTGTTGGTTATAGTAGATATAATTAATCCAATTGACATTCTTATTAACAGTAATTAGTGGGACCAAGGATTTAAACCCAGCCGCTACCTCATCTCTGGCCTTAAATTCATTGGGTACCCCCCTTGGAACCCCAATGGCATCTATGTAAACGTGTGGGTCGAAGCTGCCACGGATGGGGATTTCCCTTTTAACTCAGGAATGTGTTCGTATGGGGTCAAATGGACTTTGGTAACCATCTGGGATAATGTGGATGGGCATTATAGCTTTAGTCAGGGTGCATTCTCCCTACCACAGGCCAGATAATTGGGATCTTAATTGTTTATCCCCACACAACCAATATATGTCCCCAACTGTTTTGACATGATTCACCAATAACGTCATGGGTGGGTCGTGGTAGGCAGAACAATAGCCGGATGGGAACTTGCCCATGAACTTACCAGTGTTTTTAGACACTGAGTAACAGGTGTAGTTGCCTGGGTATACTGTGACTCCATCAGGTGGTTTAATGTTTCCCTGGGTGATGGGATACACCCTTTTCCATGATTCACATGTTGATGAATTAGTAGTTGATTGTGCATAGAGACTTTGAACACACAACTCTACATCAGGAGGTAGATTGAGGGGCACTGTACCCAAATGGGGTCTAGCCCCGCCACATACATAACAGTTAGTCTTATTATGTGAATTAGCTTTATATCTCATCCTTTCCAGCCACAGGTTAGTGTCTGAAAACCCGGTTTCCACTGTCATGGTGTCTTCAAAAGTAGGGTTAGCAATAGCAACCATATAATTTAGAGTCTTAATGTGAGGCTTGAGTGGGTTGATAGTCATGTGAGTAGTACCTACCCAGTCAGGTGAGGTGAGCATGTCTTGTAAATAGAAGGTTCCCAATTGATTATGTGACCCACCTCCCTTCCAATACATACCCATTACATATTCTCCAGCATCTCCTGGGTTGGGATGTTCTATATTTAAAGTGAGCTTCATCGGGGTTGACCCTGCAGGTTTACTCAGGGTCATTCTATATAACAAGGACTTCCCATTTCCATCAACTCTGTCTAAAGCACATTGGGGCTTACAGCCCCAAGGTCTACCAGTATTCCAACCGGCTGCTTTCCAGGAACTACAATGATGTCCCCAATGGTCTCCAGTTACACAAATGTATGGGTGTTGTGTTTGTGGGAAAGTACAAGAAACAATATCACAATAATCAAAATAAATGTAGCCACATGTGTGTTTGAGGAATTGTACCAGAATGTGTAAATATGGTTGTCTTTAGTTATAGCAACTTGTTGGGTCTCTATCAGGCCTAGCAGCAAAAGAAAACACAGGAAGCTCATGATTCTGCGGGGGTGGCTTCCTCTGGAGCAGGCACTTTCTTGCAATGCGAAGCGTGTATCCAGGAACTCTTTCCGGACCACTTTACTGAAGTGGCCGTGATTAGTAACACTTGATAAGGACCATCAAATCTTGGTTCGAGAGTATGTTTCCTGAGGAATTTGTTGACCAGGGAGCAACTTGTGAGTACCTGTTTTTGACTCAGGATCTGGAATAGAAGAAAATAGTTGGGCATGGATTTTGGTCAAGGCATGAGAAAGAGCAGTTACATAGTCTACCATAGCATCTGACTGGATCTGAAGCTGTTGGGGAAAATAACAACCTAACCTTGGTGCTGTACCGAACAGAATCTCGTAGGGGGATTGGCTGAACTTCCCTCTAGGGGGTATATCGTACACTGAACAGTGCTAGGCGGAGACTCTCGGGCCAGGGCATATTGGTCTCCTGGGACATTTTAAGTATTTTTGCTTTCAATGTGCCATTCATGCATTCCATCTTACCTCTACTCTGTGGGTGATAAGGTGTGTGGAAGGCAAGGGTCACCCCCAGTGCTGCCCAGACTTCCTGTGTCAACAAAGCGGTAAAGGAAGTGCCTTGGCCACTTTCAATCACCTCTGGAACTCCGTATCGGCAGACAATTTCTGTAAGGAGGTGCTTTGCTGTGGTCTTTGCAGTAAGATTGGCGACTGGGAAGGCTTGTGGCCATCCTGAGAACATGTCCACAATGACCAATGCATACTCATAATGACCGCTCTTTGGCATCTGGATATGATCAATCTGTATCCTCTGGAAGGGATACTGTGGTTTGGCCAGGTGATTAGGAGCAGCTTTGATCATCTTCCTGGGGTTACATTTGGCACAAATCGTACAGGATCTGCAATAGTTCTGTGTCAGAGTAGTAATGCCTGGTGCTTCGAAGTATTTATCGATCAGGGAGTTCATCAGATGTTTAGATAAGTGGGCTGGTCCATGGGCCCACTGGACAACAGCTGGGTACATATTCTTGGGTAAACAGAACTTGAGGTTGATAGTATAGACATCATTTTGAAGGATCGACCCTCTGTTCTTCCAACTTTGTTTTTCTTGAGGGGTTGCTGCGGCCTGCTGTTCTTTTAAGAGTCTGAGGTCTGTGGGCAAGGTTTGCATAGTATAGATAGGGGTGGTCTCGGCGGCCACTCTTCTGTCCACTTTCCATCCCTGCCGTGCCGCTTCCTTAGCGGCCTGATCAGCCAGGTGGTTGCCCTGGGCTTCTTGCGAGTTCAACCTTCCATGGGCTTTTACCTTCAGTACGGCCACCTCTTCAGGGAGCAACAGGGCATCCATCAGTTCCTCAATAGCTGCTCCGTGTTTCACAGGGGTACCGGTAGCTGTAAGGAACCCCCTGGTTTTCCAAATTAGACAGAAATCATGTGCCACCCCCAGGGCATATCTGGAATCTGTATAAATATTGACTCATGTACCTTCAGATAATTTACAGGCCACTGTAAGGGCTGTTAGCTCGCCTCTTGGGCTGATTTTGTCGGTGGGAGCGCAGCAGCCTGTAGTATTCGACATTCTGTAGTAACTGCGTTCCCAGTGTGGTATTGTCCATGTTCATCAGCAAATCTGGAGCCATCCACAAACAATGTACAGTTTGGATTGGGTAGGGCAGTGTCATGCACGGTTGGTAGGTGGGTGGTCTCCATCTTCATTTGTTCAAAACAGTCATGAGGGGCTTCTGGATCTTGTCCCATGGGAAGTGGCAGAAGAGTGGCCGGGTTCAAGGAGTAACATCGTTGAAGGGTCACATTGTCAGGCAGCAGCAAAGAGGTTTGTAGACGTAGATGGCGTTGGGAGGAAAGGTGCTTAGGTTGGACTTGTTGCAAGAGATATCATGAGGAGCAAGGACAGTCAGACAATGTCCAAGGACAAAGTCATTGGTCTTGTCCAACAGAGCACTAGCAGCAAACACTGCCCACAGGCAGGAAGGACTACCTCTGGCAACGGAGTCGAGCATGCAGGAAAAATAGCCAATGGGCCTTTGTCAGGAACCATGGGATTGTGTAAGGACCCCTGAAGCGTGGCCCATCTTTTCTGAGACAAACAACTTGAAAGGTTCCAAAGCCGGCGCGGAGGAAATCGCCTTTTGCAGGGCAGTGAAGCAGGCCAGGGCATGAGGTGAAAGTGAGAATGGTTCATTCTTCAAAGCGTCATACAACGGCTGCATAAGCTGGGAAGCTTCAGGAATCCACGATCTGCAATAGGTGATGAGGCCTAAAAAGGCATGTAGAGTTTGGTGAGTAGATGGGATTGGCAGATGTAAGATAGCAAGGATCCTATTCCTGGTAAGATGACGGGTGCCATGGGAGAGGCAGTGTCCCAAGAAGACCACAGAGGGCTGGCACCACTGGAGTTTGGATTTAGAGACTTTACAACCTTCTTCAGCCAGAAAGCATAGTAGGTCTTCGGAAACACGTTCTGGAGATCAGCAGCGCAGAGGAGTAAGTCATCAACATCCATGTGAGCCTTTTGCCAGGGTTCCAGGACCATGGACATGGCTCTGGCAAACTGAGTAGGGGAATTCTGTGCCCCCTGAGGCATGACAGTCCATGTATACTGTTGGCAATCATGAGTAAAAGCAAAGAGATGCTGGCAGGACAGATCCAGGGGAACACTGAAGAATGCATTAGCAAGGTCCACCACAGTGAAAACCTTGGTTGTGGGTGGAACCTGTGACAACAAGGTATGCAGATTGGGGACAATGGCAATGTCGATGTTAGGTGGGGGGGGGAGAAGAAGGCTCCTATCGGCCATTTTAATTAATCACATATAAGTAGAATAATGCTGATTATTGTTAAATGAGTAAATAGACATTTTACTAACTAAAAATTACGTTAATATCTTATTTCCACAACAAGGAACAACAGCTGTTTGAGCAAATTGAGAAAGCTGCAAATCTGGGTAACACTTTAATTATTGGAGATTTTAATTACCCGGACATAAATTGGGACAGAGGGACAACATGTGTGGAGGAGAAGGAAATATAACTTTTGATCTTAAAGGCTTCGCGGGTCTGAGTACTCTTGAATTCCTAAACAGATATATACGAATCTTGAAGAAGCTCAGCAAAGGGAATTAGGTTTTTAAACTTGTTAAATGACACCTTCATGTCACAACTTGTACAAGCACCAACTAGAATGGACGCTTGTCTGGACGCAACGTTGATCTTTTGACCAACATTCAAGTAGGTGAGCACTTGGGAAATAGTGATCACAATATAGTGTCCTTTGAAATAAACTCAAAAAAAACAAAAGCACATGGGGAATACTAAAACATATAATTTTAAAAAGGCTAATTTCAATAAGTTAAGGGAAGCTTTACAATATATTGACTAGCATAAACTCTTTAGTGAAAAGAACACTGAGGATAAATGGATCATCTTCCAACAAAAATTAAAAAGGTACATTTCTCAGTATGTACCGTTGGGAAATAAATATAAAAGAATCAAATTAAAACCAATGTGGCTTAGTAGAGAAGTAAAACAAGAGATTACAACTAAGAAAAGGGCATTTAAAGCATTTAAATCGGACAAATCAGATGCATCTTATAAAAGATATAAGGAAGCAAATAATGCGTGCAAAAAGGCAATTAGACTTGCTAAACTTCAAAATGAAATAATGATAGCTAAAGAGAGCAAAACCAACCCCAAAGCATTTTTTAAGTACATAAATTCTAAAAAAAAACATAATGAAAGTGTAGGTACACTAAAAACTGAAACAGGGGTGTTAGTTAATGAAGTCCAGGAAAAGGCAGGAATTTTAAATAACTATTTCTCCTCCGTATATATATAAGGGAAGAACCCATGGCAATAAATGTGCAAATGATTGCTACTAAAAACTTGCAGAATAATTGTAAATGGTTATCTCAAGACAAGGTGCTGCAGCAACTAAAGAAAGTGAATATAAACAAAGCTCCAGGGCCTGACGGTATCCATCCATGTGTACTTAAGGAACTAAGTGTAGAAATAAGTGAACCTCTGTTTTTAATCTTTCAAGATTCTTTTCTTGTTGTTCCGGAAGATTGGAGGAAGGCAGATGTGGTTCCTATATTCAAAAAGGGTTCAAAATCCTTGCCTGGAAATTATAGACCTGTGAGCTTAACTTCTGTGGCTGGTAAAATATTTGAAAGGTTATTAAGGGATAATATTCAAGAATTCCTTGAGAAGAACATGGTTATCAGCAAAAATCAGCACAGATTTATGAAGCACAGGTCATGTCAAACTAACTTGATTGCGTTCTACGAAGAAGTAAGTAGAAGTATAGATCAGGGTGTTCAGTAGATGTGATCTATTTGGATTTTGCCAAGGCATTTGATACAGTTCCACACAATAGTTTAGTGTTCAAACTCAAAGAAAATCGGTTTAGATGAAAATGCTTGTTCTTGGGTAGAACATTGGCTTAAAAGCAGAGTACAAAGAGTTGTCATTAATGGTAAATTTTCAAGCTGGACAGAGGTGGCAAGTGGTGTCCCTCAGGGGTCTGTTCTGGGACCCCTTCTATTTAACATGTTTATAAATTATCTTGAAGACCGCATTGAAAGTCATATTTCAGTGTTTGCAGATGACACAAAACTTTGTAAAACAATACAATGCGAGCAAGATATTACTTTGCTGCAGAGGGATTTAGATAGACTGGGGGACTGGGCACTCAAATGGCAGATGAAATGTAATGTTGAAAAATGCAAAGTTTTGCACTTTGGCGTAAAAAATACACATGCAATGTATACCCTTAATGGAAGCGAATTAGGGATAACAACACACGAAAAGGACTTGGGAATTGTTATAGACAACAAACTATGCAACAATGTGCAATGTCAATCAGCAGTGGCCAAGGCCAGTAAGGTATTGTCATGCATGAAAAAGGGCATTCATTCTCGGGACAAGAATATCATTTTGCCTCTTTATAAATCACTGGTAAGACCCCATATTGAATATGCTGTGCATTTTTGGGCACCTGTTCTAAAGAAGGATATTATGGCACTAGAAAAAGTGCAGAGGTGGGCTACAAAACTAATAAAAGGAATGGAACATATCGGCTATGAAGAAATGTTAACAAATTTAAACCTATTTAGTTTAGAAAAACGTCGCCTGAGAGGGGATATGATAACATTATACAAATATATTCGGGGCCAATACAAACCATTGTGTGGAAATCTATTCACAAACCTGACTTTACATAGGACACAAGGCCATGCGTTTAGACTGGAAGAAAGAAAAGGAAAGGTTTTTTTACTGTAAGAACAATCAGGATGTGGAATTCTCTGCCTGAAGAAGTGGTTTTATCAGAGTTCATACAGATGTTCAAACGGCTACTAGATGCATACTTGCAAGAACAGAATATTCAAGGATATAATCTTTCAATGTAGGGTAATAACTGCTTGATCCAAGGATAAATCTGACTGCCATTCTGGGGTCAAGAAGGAATTTTTTTCCTAGCTTGTTGCAAAATTGTGCTTCAAACTGGGTTTTTTTGCCTTCTTTTGGATCAACAGCAAAAAACAAATGTGAGGTAGGCTGTACTTGATGGACGCAAGTCTCTTTTCAGCTATGTATCTATGTAACTATGTATTTAATTCTTCTTTTTTAACATGTACTAAAATATGTGAGTGTCCTCCATATCTATTTTCGGATACCACTTTTATACAGTCTGCGCTATGTCACTTATGTTTTTATTAATAGGTTTTACCCTGTATTTTGATGGCGATGTGAAGTACGCTTACCATTTGTGTGCTATCACCCTATTTTTCTTCAAGATTCATATATATATATCTGTTTAGGAATTCAAGAGTACTCAGACCCGCGAAGCCTTTAAAGGACCACTCTAGGCACCCAGACCACTTCAGCTTAATGAAGTGGTCTGGGTGCCAGGTCCTTCTAGGGTTAACACATTTTTTAATAAACATAGCAGTTTCAGAGAAACTGCTATGTTTATTAATGGGTTAAGCCTTCCCCCAAAGCCTCTAGTGGCTGTCTCATTGACAGCCACTAGAGGCGCTTGCGTGCTTCTCACTGTGATTTTCACAGTGAGAGCACGCCAGCGTCCATAGGAAAGCATTATAAATGCTTTCCTATGCGACCGGCTGAATGCGCTTGCCGCGCGTGCGCATTCAGCCCAGGAGGAGGATCGGAGGAGGAAAGGAGGCAGAGAGCTCCCTGCCCAGCGCTGGAAAAAGGTAAGTTTAAACACCTTTCCCCCTTCCAGAGGCGGGCGGGAGGGGGACCCTGAGGGTGGGGGCACCCTCAGGGCACTATAGTGGTCCTTTAAGATCAAAAGGTATATTTTCTGCTCCTCCACACATGTTGTTTACCTGATCACTTGTGGTTGTGGTGCACAATATGTGAGGAGGACTGGAAGAAAGGCTAAGACAAGATGTTTGGAACATTATAACAATATTCGTAGAAAATCATTACCCACTCGGTGCCGGTTCATTGCAATAAATGTTCATCTTTTAATAACATCAATTTTATTGCTATTGAACAGGTACAGCTTGATGAAAGAGGAGGTGATCTAATGTTGAAACTAAGAAAAAGGAATACACAAATTAAAAACAATGCAACCCTGTGGTCTAAACATAGATTTTGATTTGATGTGTTTCTTAAATTGAGGTTTAAAATGTTTTTTAAAGTGTGGGATTAAGAGTTTTATAGCTACATGTTTTTAGAATTATCTTCTACTTTTTGCAGATTCTCTC